GACGTGATGTTTATTCTGTGGCAGACATTAGATGCAACACAACTGAACTGAACTCCTGCAGCTGACATGAACAACACACCATTTATTTATTTATTATAAACAACAGTCAAATTACAGTTTGTTTAAAAAGCATGTTTAAAACTAACCAAAAGTTGGACCTAAGTGCAGTTTATTTCAAACAGCCGCTCACAGACAACAAATCTGAATACGAGACAATAAAATGAGAAAAAAACATGAAATACAAAAGCTGTAGCGAAGCTTTTCTGCCTGTTCTGTTCATTCTGATGCTTTCATCGGTTGTCGTCATCGTGCACCACGAAGCAAACCTGTTAGCAAAACCCTCACACATGTAAGTGATCCACACATGTTTTCTTTTTGTCTTATTTATGACTGAATTAATATTCATGCAGATCTTTCGGTGAGCGGCGGCGCTGTGCTAACCACAACCACGCTGCTCCACATCCAGACACACATTACGCTGATTTACCGTCGGCTCTACCGTGGACTACATGTGTCCATGATGAGCTCCTGGTTGCTCCTCTGCAGCTCAGCAGACCTCTGATGAAGGTGGAGGGTTTCTGCTACAGACATCAGCGACGTGTTCATGTTTCAGCGTCGCATTATTTTTGGAAGCTCAAGTTTAAAAGGAGATGAAGACGTACGGCCGCCTCTCGCCAGCGGGAAGCCAAGTCAACATGTCTAACTAAAGCTGTGATGGTACTATAATTTTATGAGTCCATAACTTGAGCTCGGCTGACGGAGCGCTTTGGCAGCAGAAAGATGGAGCAAACATCGTATATTATGGTGGGACCTGAGCCGCTCGGCCAAGTGGTGTAAAGCCGAGTCCTCTCCAAGAGAAGACCTCCTCCTACCAGACACGTGTCTTCCTGCATTCTGCATCAAATCAGCGCTTCCTTTACCTCCGTGAGCACCGATTACAGTCCTCTTGTGAGGATTCGAGGCATAAAAACCACTTTAATTGTCAAAAAAAGCACATTTCATTCATAGATTGAACCCTGCAACAGCTGAAGAGCAACACCAGACAGTAAACTGCTGCAGGTTAGATCTTCAGCTCCTCAGCGTCCAGACAGTAACATCAGAGCAGCCGGTTCTGGCAAAGCAGCGCATGGATGAGTTACATATGTGATTGTAGTTCAGGGTCACAGGTGGAAACAACACGACTTGTGATCGCCTCACTTCTAACTTTTAGACAACACACACTCAGGATGGGACTGTGTGTCTGCACCGCTGGGATTCAGCAGCTCAGACAGCTGGTCCAGGTTCTTACGTTTACTGTCACCGGTGATGTGTTGGTCAACAGACAGTTTATTCTGAAGTAGGAAGTGTGACACTTCACAGGGAGTCTGGACTGGATCCGGACTGACTTCCTGTTTGATCTGGATGCAGATCCAGGTTCATACAGACTTCTGTTTCTGTGCAGAAAGAAGCGAGAAAAGAAAAGCAGGTGTTTTTGATGTTGTTAATGAGAAGTGCGTTCCAGTGGGAGGAGGTTCTGGTACCACTGGACCTGGGCTGTTCCTATGGGCTGCAGAGCGGAGCACCGTGATCACATCCAGTCATCAGGACTGGAGGTCAAATAGAGCCTGAACGCACTAGTTCAGCATAAAGCTTATAGAGTCCTTCATTAGAGCCACTAGAGGGACCTTCTAACCCGTTTGATTTGCTCCTGGCACATGTTTGGCATCAGGTTTCTTTTTTTATCAGACTGAGAATGTTTTTCGGTATGAGCTGTTTTTACCTTTGACGTCCTTCGACTGTCACGTAAGTCCTCCTCAGAAACGTCACTGACGTCTGTGGTGACGTTGTCTTCATCAGCTCCTGGTTTCATGGAGGCGTCCAACAAATACTCTGATAAAAACAAACCTCTGATCAGAGTGGACAACATGAACCTGATCACGCTTCACTCACTGTGGGCTCGTTGTTCCTGCACCTCCATGAAGACGGAGAGCCAGCTCAGAGACGTCTTCTGCACAGTTTGAGGAAGTTCTGATGCCATAAATCATAAAAAAAGAAAGTTGAATTTCTCTGATTGCCTGTTTTATCAAAAATGTAAAAAGTGGAGTCAGCATGTTTAACGTTTGCCCAGTAACGCCCACAGATAGCTCACTGCTCCTGTTTCTAGTTTGTTTCTCCTCCTGACTCCTCTCTGAGTAAAACACGTCCTGCGGTTCAGCTCGGTCCGGTCCGGTCCGGTCCAGAAGTCGCTGAGTGTTTGTCATGTGACTGTTGATCACAGCTGAGTGATAAATAACTTCCTGGTTGTTTTATAGAGAAGCAGAATCTTTAGATTTTTACAGAATCTGGTTCCAGGAAACGCTGAGTTTTATTGATGTAAAACAATATAATATATATTATTCTATTCATATAGAATAAATGAAATATCACAACATTCAGCTCAGAGTTCACAGTTCTAGGACCATGAAGCAGTAATCTGATGTTTTTGACAGGTTTTATCGTCTCTGTCTGATAAACTGTGTACTTTGGGAGTTTTGGGTCGGCGGTCGGACTTCATAGGATTTGTTCTGTCCCGTCTGATTAACATGTGAACTCTTTGTTTTTCATTGTTTTTGGTGTAAATAGAAGAGGAGCAGCAAGAAGTTGAATTCTGGAGGAAGAACCAGCCCAAAGAAAATGGCCAAGGTGAGCTGTGTGTCATACAGACCGTTAACATGGACCCACGATGGTCCGTTGGCTGGTTCTGAACCTCCCAGTACAGAAACGTTCTGGTTCCTTCTAACTGGGGAGCCTGTATGTAAATCAGCCACAGGTCTGCATGAGTCACCACCTCATCCACTGTGTCTGCTTTTGTTCTCATTTAGTTTCTCTTGGTTTCATTATCAGAGATGAGAGCCGATCGGGGGAGTTTTTGATCAGGTTCTGATTCACCAGCATGTGATTAATCATCAGGTTCTGAGTTGACATGAATTTGGAGCAGCGTTGATTTCAGAGAATCTCCTGCTCGCTCACACAAGCTAAAGACAGATTGTGATGACGGTACCGTGTGCGCCCTGCAGCAGAACCCCTGAGGTGTCAGAGAGTCGGGCTGCCGGACGTGGCCGTGGACGGTGATGACGGCGGCGCCGAGGAGGACGACGGCGCCGCAGACGACGACTATCACAGGAGCGACCCTCAGATCGCCATCTGTCTGGACTGCCTTCGCAACACGGGCCAGTCGGGGGAGAGCACGGTCACCGTACGTCTTCATTCAACCTCGTTTGGTGCTTTGAGTGAATAAACGCTCTGAAATGAAGTTCCCACTAATGTTCTGGAGAAAAGTGACATGAAGGGAGCATGTTTAGGCTTCTTGGACGTCGGTGTCTCATGTCTTGTAAATGCTGGATTGTGTTGTGAGGTTTCTGCTTTTGGCTGCTTCCCTCATTGAATCAGGCTGTAACAGAGTTTGTCTGTCTTCCAATTAGGATCTGATGAAGAGATTCATCCGCTGCTCCAGTAGAGTCACCGTGGGAACCATCAAGAAGTTCCTCAGTCTTAAACTAAAGCTGCCGAGCTCCTACGAGGTGAGGAAGCCGTCGGCTCTGCTGGAACAGAAAACTGGTCATTCTGAACTCAATCACTTGAACTTGTCTGCTTGTTATTTGAAGGTATGTTGATCAGTAAGAAGATGTTAGCGTAGCAACGCTCCTCAGAAACATGGAAATAACACATTCAAACGTTTATAAAGACCAGTACTTGGTCCCCCTAAACTTTATATCAAATTAAACTATATGAGAATAATAATCATCTAAAGAAGATTCAAACCATTGGAAACAGGAGATCCAAGCTGCTTTACTCAACATTAAAGTACAGAAAGCAACAGAAAACATCCATAAAACATTAAAGGAGCACATTAAAGCATTACTAAAGATATGCTCGTCTGGTTTTAAGAGCTTCAAAAGAGCTTTTCTGACTGGACAGAGAAGCTTTGTCCTGATAGGAAACTCCTTCAATCACAGCACGTCTACTGATGAGCTTTCAGGGTTTAGATCATGAAGAATCTCCACACGGCCTTCGCTAGCTAGCATCTGCTCTGAGCACTGTTTGCTGGCAGCAGTTGGTTCGTTTGCAGTGTCTGTAAGTTCACGTAGTCACACGTTCTGAGCTCTCCACGTAGACTTCATGGAACATGTAGATCAGGCACATCCCTGCAGACACGTGGCAACACCAGCATCCCACACGGTCAGTGCAAAACGCTCGATGAGGAGTGTTCACCTGCTCTGTCTGGGCTGAACCGCTGCAGCCTGTGATAAGACTAAATAAAGAAAATTCAATCAGCTCACCATGCAAATGACAAAAACACACTTTTACAAGCTGAGATGATAAATTTCAAGCTTTAGAAAAACCAAACAAGTACAGCGTCTTAGAGCTCTGATCCAGTGCAGAGGAAGACTCGGGCTCATGAGTCTAAGCAGAGATAAATAAACCAGATGCTCTTTGATACTTGGCTCCTTTATTAAAGGATGCTAAGCTGCTGGCTCCCTGCACACGGAGCTGAAAGTGGTGAAACACTCATCATCAGAGCAGCCTCCCACTCTTTACCACAGTGAACTCCCCTCTCCTTTCACTTCTCACCTCTCTGTCGTGTCCTCATCCACAGGTTCAGGCAGCATGTTTCCATCCTGACTGGCTCTTATTCTGCTTCTGTTGTTGTTGCTTGTGTTGCAGCTGGATGTGCTGTGTAACGGAGAGATCATGGGCCGAGACCACACTCTGGAGTTCATCTACATGACCCGGTGGAGGCTGCACGGGGAGAACGTAAGGCTTCCCGCCACTGTGTGTGTGTGTGTGTGTGTGTGTGTGTGTGTGTGTGGATGCAGGAAAGCCTTTTTGTTCCCACGGAGAGACCACCGGCCCAGAACCGGGGCTTTGTCAAGCTGTGCTTCAGCATCAGATTTAAAGGTTGTGGTTTGACATCCAGAAGTGAAAGTATGACTGGAGTCAGACTGAGAGTGTGTGTGTGAGTGTGTGAGTGTGTGAAACCCGCTTCACTGACGTCTGTATTGAGTGTTAACTGTCTGAGCTACAAGCTGTTTGTGGGCGATTTCTGTCACATTTTTACTCACCGTGGGTTCATTTTTCTCTGCAATATAAATTCCTGCACCGCTGTGGAAACAGAACAAGCACGGCTAGAAGAGACCAGGCTGGAGTTTGGTAGAAAGCTTTGTGAGGACCTTTATTTAGGAAATGGTGAAAAGGTGAGAAAGTCTGGCAGCAGGTGATCAGAGAACCAGGATCAGGTGAGCTGGAGGATTGAGCTCAGGTGAGGAAGCAGCCAGCAGGAGGGGAGACAGAGCAGAGAGAAGAAAGGTGAGGAAGCAGACAACACTGCAGCTGATGTCTGATGTCTTCTGTGCACGACGTCACAGTCATGATGCCACGAGTCAGGAAAAAAGAAAAAAGTTCAATTTCATGTTTTTTTATTTTGTAAAAATGAGAAAACCTGGAACCAGCATGTTCTCACAGGTGCTACGCCCTGTAGATGTTTTACTGTTCAGCTTGTTGGCCTCCGACCTGCTGGCTGAACACTGGCTGCTCTGGTCACTACTGACTCACTAACAGCTTCATGATTATACCAAAAGAATGCAGATTTTTTTTGCTTTTTGCAGAATCTAATTAATACAAATGCCTTTTTTTGGGCCCATATTTAAATGAGGTTTGTGCATTAAGCTGATGACACGTTACGGTTTTAAGCATCTGGTGAAGTTCAGACAGGATGGCGCCTCACAGAGGAGGAGTTTAGCAATAGTTTGGGAAGAAAACATGGCCTTCAAGCTGGATTTTGGGTTTTAGTGGGATGGTTAGATGAGCAGATGTAAGGTAGCAGTGAGAACCAGAACCGCTGTGCACGGCTTGTCTGTATGGTTGTTCAGAGGATTGAAGTCTAACAGTGACACACAGCTCTGTACAGAAACGTTCACGTTCAAACACGCCTTCACTGTCCAGGCCTAAAGCGTGACTCGGTCCTCACAGAGATAGCAGCGCCGTCGCACACAGGTCCAGCAGGAGGTCCTGCCTCGGTGTGAAACGTGCCGCCGCTCTCGGGCCTCGGGTCATCGGTCAGGTCCAGCGCGTGAGCTGCAGTCCTGCTGCTCGCTGGAGCGTGAGCGCACACATTCCTGTCCGCGGCGGCTGATATTTATCTGTTTATCTGCTGCGTGGGCGTGTCCATGTGAGCGATTAGCTCCTGAAAGGTCTGGTCCACTTCAGCCGCTGACTGAGGAGTGCAGACAGCTGGCTCAGCAGGAGGCGTCAGATCCCGGGTCAGCAGCAGGAAGCCGCCATGAAATGAGAGCCGTTCATAAGGTGTAGCTGCTCTGCTCCAGCTGTGGCCTCACGTCTGTCACACAGCTCCCATCTCTTTCTTCTAACTGACTCGTGTTTTCAGGGCGGCAGGAGGAGATGGAAGCTGTGATTATTCCCTCCTCTTATGCAATCTGTTGCATAATGAGCAGGAAACTACACCGAGGTGCGTAACTTTATATTTGTGGCACCGGTGGAACTGAAAACACTGTTTTCCAGGAACACACACTTTGCTGGTCCGGTTGGAGCTGACATGCTTCTTATGTAATAATGAGGTCCAGACTGTGTGTCTGTGCACAGATTGTCAGGATTGTAGGTCATGTCATTTTCCATCTGCTGCTTTGTCCCATATGCTGAGCTGTGGATTATGTAAACATATCAGAGGACAACACAACCCATCATTCACAGGGAGCTGGAGTCCTGCACGCAGCGCATTGGGACTAATAGGAGGTGTATTGATGATATGAAGCCGAAAAACCTTCAAACCAGAGATGTGAGAAAAGTTCTGCTCAGTGGTCCGGCTCAGTGGTTCTGCTCTGGTGTTTGAACTCCAGGAACTTGTTTTTATTTTTTGGGGGGTTACTAGATTACTAGAGGAGAGTTTTTTTGCAAACTGGGTCTCAGATGGTGCAGCTTCCATGAAGGAAGGGCTGCATGATAACTGGGTTATGAGTCCTGATCGGTGTTGGCTGCCTGGAGCTAAATGAGGAGAACTGACTGTGATGTTGATGTTTAACGCTCTGAACTTCAAGCAGCTTCTGGGTGTTTTTAGCTCCACTTTTTTACTACTGTGGCCTCGTTTTATCACTGCAATATAAAGTCGTGCACCTCTGTGGGAACAACCATGAAGTAGAAGAGAGAACCTAGAAAAGAACAAGTTAAATCAGAAAAAAATAAAGACGGACGTTCGCAAAAATTGGAGCAAAAACTGGTGCATTTTTTCCCAAGTCCTCCAAAGTGTGACTGGTGCGGAGTAAACGATGACGTCTCTACACGGTAAACGTCTTCTACTAACTCATTTCTGGCAGAAAGGCAGATAAATAGCTCAAGAACCAGCAGGATGTTGTAAATCCACGAATCCTCTCTGCCGGCATGTTTTGGGGTCCAGAGGGTTAAAATATGTTCCCTGCTCATGTGAAGCTCCCTGAACCGTCAGCCAGCCACCGGGGAGTGATGGAGATGTTTTGGCTTCACTTTTGGGGAGTTGTCATGTCGCTGCAGCAGCTGCCTGGATGCACGACGGGCCTGGATGCTGCAGTCCAGACCAGGATGTGCAGCAGACGGGCAGAACCAGACGTGTGGAGCAACATGGATCATCGGTTGTCGTTCTGGAAGTTATTTGGAGAGAAAGTGATGTAAAGACAAAGTCACATGCAAAGAGTGTACGACTTGAGTTTGTGCCACAAAGCAACACGACACAGCAGAACCTGCAGACATGGCCTCTCTGAGCTCGCCCAGCTCCATCGCACATGTCCAGAACTAGAGCTGAAAGCAGCTGCAGGTTCTCGTGCAGTTCTGTTTGGAGAGGCCCAGGGAACGAGGCCAAGAGGATTCTGAGGTGAAGGCTTGTCCATCAGCAGAAGTGCAGCACAACCAGAGGACTTGATGAAGGACCTCCTCTGATGACCACCTACAGACGTCAACATCAGGGTTTGGCCCGAAACTGATCAAAAACAAGTTTCCAAGACAAGACAAGCTTCAAGTGTTGCAGATTATCTGTAGGACCATTTCTTTTTAGAACCTCCTGGCAGCCTGAGGAGGCGGGTGGTTCCGTGTTAGCAGGCAGAGAGCATTGTGGGTGTTTAGCGAGGAAAGGGCCACAATGTGATCCAGCCAGCGTGCACGAGTTAAATCAAGGCAGAGACATGAAGACAGCATGTTTCAATCTGTGTCGTGTATCCAACAGTCACCACCGGGGCAATAGAAGCACAGGTTCATAGACTATAAAGAAAACCATGTGAACCTGCTCAGACCAGCACCGGAGCACCAGCGGGGGCGTTTGCTCCAACGATGGCAGCTATGAAGGCCAGCAGAGAGCATTGTGGGTGTTTAGCTGGAAACGGGCGCCATGACAAAGACTTCTGTGACCTTTAGTGACCTCCAGACAGAGTTTGTGTGTTTTAAACAAGCTGAGGCTGGCGAGGGCAGCATCCCTGGATGGAGGTCAACTAACAGCAGATGTTCACTGTCATCAGTCTGTGTCACCAACAAATCAACGATTGATCGATGATGCTGCTTTTGTTCAGAACATTATTCAACAGCATCCTGCTATACATGTACATAGACATACATACATATATGTACATATATATGTATGTATGTATGTCTCCCTTCACAACACGTGTGTGACAGTCGGCGTAAACACAGCATCACGCTTATGTTCATCACAATAAGTAGAAAAATGCCTCCATGTTTCCATCCCGGTGCCGTTATGAGCCAAATCTGCTCAGCAGCGTTTCTCTTTCTCCGTTCTGAAGCTCCTCGACGGGAGACAGAAATCATCCCCCAGAATTATTTATGTCTGACGGCTGAGTCACAAGGATAAACACCGAGAAATTATTTCTGAATCCTGTTTGAACCCTGTCTGGCTCAGGACAAGGTGAGGAGAGGGATGACAGCCAGACGCAGACACAGAAGATACGAGTCATTCATCAGCTCGTCCTTCTGACAACGCCGCCGCCGCTCGGCTTCGTCTTCTCCGTCCGAATTAGAGAGTCGCGGAGGCCGGTCAGGACGGATTCACACAGAAATAAATCAGTCTGTGGCCTCTCGGGATGTCGTTTAGTCAGAACGTGGAACTCCTCTCTGATGGTCACCATGGTGACTTTAAAGCCTGAGAGATGCTGCTGTGGCTGTGAACACTGAGTCTGTTGTTACTGATGACGAGTCGTCCTGGTACCGGCTCACTGTGGACGGCGGTTCAGATCCATCAGATCAGAGAACGTATCTATGAATAAACTCTAAGAGCAGTCAGCACCAAATACATATTATATACTCACATATAAAACCAGAGCCAAACACTCTGAGGGAATCCAGTGGATGTTAAAGGTTCTGTTGGTCTAAACTCTGAAACCCAAACGGTTTTGTTCAACTTTTACTCGCTCTCTGCTCATTTTTACTGAAATCTAAACGTCTGTGTCAAAATGAAAGTTGAGTTTCTTTGGTTATTTAACAAACTGGAACCAGCAGCATGTTTTCAGCTGAGTGCCAGAAGTTCTGCTGACACTGGACCAGACTGTCCACCGAGTTCTTATGGTTCTGGTCTCAGTGTGAACACAACCTGCAGTTCAGCCGAACTCTGGCGACCGTCTATCGTAGCTGAATCCCTCGTAGCTCTCCAGCTGAACTGAGGAATGTAAAGTTTTATTTTTATTAAAGTCTTTTGTTTATTTTGGGGGATTTTTTAAGTGAAACTGTGAAATTGTAAAAGACTCGTTTAGATCAAGACTTGAAGCCTGGACTTGGATAATAACTGAACAACACATCACACACGATTAGTTCAGGACAGTTAACCAGCTCTAGCAGTGATCAATGGAAAGTTCAGAATCCAGTTTCTGTTTTTGTTTTTACACTTTCTGCCTCTAATGGTGTCATTTTGGCAATTTTGGAAACACAACAAGCCTCTAAAACCCGTTGGCTGGTTCTGGGGCTCGGCCGGCCAACATGCTCGTCTGTTGTGTGCAGAATGACAGAGAGCGGTCCAAACAGCAATATGCTGAGTCATATGGTCAAAGTTCTGCAGGCAGCAGGAGAAAAGCGACAGAACCGACTGACGTGCAGTTAATCAGCATCTGGGTCGTGTTCCATGTTTCTGTTGTTCTGCTGACATAGGAACAGTCGTCTGACTTTTAAATCAGCGTGAGTCACAACGTGCCGCTTTGATCCGTTCCGTCTCCGCCGTAATCGATCCGCCTCGTCAGCACAAACCAGTTTCAGGTGTTGGTTCTGTTTGTCCAGAAGCAGGAGCGTTTCCTGGCCTGAACGGTGGAACTTCACGGTGAAACCCAGAACTTTTCCCTAAACACCTTCAAGCATGTTTTCCACACAGAAAGCCGCTGATGACAGTTTAGGACGAGTGAAGAAGAGCATCCAGACGAGAGCAGCTCCACTGAGACATTAACGTAAAACAAACCGCTGAGAAGAGCTCAGGTGTGTTCCATCACAGACAGGTGACAGGTGTTAGTGCAGCGTTCATGCTGCCTGTAGAGCTTCTAGGTGTTGAGTTCATGCTGCATCAGAGGACAGTTAGAGGATGAAACAGTCGTGGTCCAGTCAGAGAAACTCAGTTAGATGGTGACAAGTTTAATCGTGTTTTATGCAAATTGTCGTTTAGTTCTTCCTGTGGTACCGACCCGTTTAAGCCTTTTCTGATCCGGGCTCACTGTTGCTAGAACTGCCACCTGTTTGGTTAAAGTTTGGTTGATTTGGTCACAAAATAAACTTTCTAGGTTTCTAAGAAAACAACTTTAAGCTTTAAGAAACTGAGATTCTGTCCTCAGTGGGGGAACGAGATCCGTGAGTTCCTCAGCATCGGGCATTTGAGGGTTTCTGGTTGAACTGCAGACGGCGTTTCCTCTGTAGAAAACACCTGCAGTCTGTGCAGTCAAACTCCAGGCGCTTTACCTTCACGTAGAAGAAGTCGTTAAAGAAGTTCAGCTTTATGCACATGAACCGTTTGTTGAACTCCCTCTGCTTCTGTCCGGCGGTTTCCTGGTTCCACAGAGCTGCAGGACTTTAGAAATGAGCCCCAGTGAAGAAACGTGTGACCAGAACCACCCAGAGACTGTTCAGGTAATAGTGCAGTAAACTGGAGCTGACACCACATTCAGGATTTCTACACGAGTGTCACCACACAGGTCAGATCATTTGTGCCAAACAACATTTGACAGCAAATTTTATTTTATTTACTTTTGAGTGATTCAACATTTCAGAAGAAAACCCCGACCTGTCTGACGAAGCACACGAAACACATCCAGAGCGTTTGGAGGCAGAAACGCTGAGTGTCGGCTTCAGACGGAGCGGCTCGGCCCACACAGCGGCCGGATCGGACTCGCTGTTGTCTGCGTTTATTTATTTATTTATCTGGAGGCATGATGCAGCAGAAAGCTGGAGGAGATGACAGCAGCTGTGCTCGGCTGAGCTGCCAGAAATAGGAGACGCTCTCAGTCTGCAGCTGCTCCGACACAAACACTCGCCTCTTCTGTGAATGTTTTATGGAAAGGGCAGCTCACATCTTCTGACTGTTTCAAACCAGCTTTTACAGGCGGAGCAGGCAGGAGAGTGTAGCGGTCGGTATGATTTAACCCCGCTGACGGATGGAGCTCATGTGGAGGTGGAGGCTCGCTGGGGGCGGAGCATCTCTGCAACCGGACTGCAAGTAAAAGTCTGTATTTACATGAGAGACGAGCAGCAGCACAGGCTGGGTTTCTACTGAAACCCTGATCTTCAGCTCCTCTGATGCGTTTCAAAGTGTTTTCTGGCACTTGCTGACATGTTGACGGTGGAGCGGACGGCCAACCAGGGGTCCAGCGTGGAGCATCGGATCTGGAGGTCCAATGTTTGGGTTCGAAACACTAAACTGTGCCAGTGAAGTGAAAGGCTGTTGTTGTTGTTGTTGTTGTTGTTGTTGTTGTGTGACTGACATCTGCACACTGGTCACATGTACGCTCAGGGAATTACCTGAGTTGTGGTTCATGACAGAAACAGGCTGCGTCCATTTACGTGCACTTCTACCTTCTTCTTTTATTTTATTTTGAATTTATTGAGAATTTTCTGTTTACTCTTCATTTTGTTGGTTGTATTTGCTTTTTTGTTTGTTGTCATTTATTTCTTGTTCCATGCCAGAAGTGCAGGATGGCTGCAAATCCTGTTTTTAATGTCACACGACTGAAGGAAATATTTGGTTATTTATGGATGCTGAAGCTGAAGGAACTGGACTCTGCTCAACCTCCACTCAGTTCAGAAAATGAATGAATGTGTGTTTTACTGTCGCATTTAACTCGTATGTAGTTTAACGGGTTTTAAATATTTAAATGTGACACGATTCACTTCTGAGCTGATCACATATCATGGATGTGCTTCTGAAGCTTTTTTAAAAAACGTTCCAAATAAATGACTGACAACCAGCTCCAGTGATTCAGAGTCGATCCACTGATTCCTGGCTGTGTGTGATCACGTGAAACATGCTCCTGTTTACCAAAGACCAAAAGATTGATTCTATCTCAAACAGTTTCTCCCGTTTCTCCCTCAGACGTATCCGATGGTTCTGGAGTATCGGCCTCGTATCGACTTCGGCTGAACCAAGCCTGCATGAAGAGGACCACACACACACACACACACACACACACACACACACACACACACACACACACTGTATATACACACAGATACATGCATACACAGTGTAGACAGTAAGAACACCTGGACACACACACACAGCACCAGAGACAGAGAAAGATTTAAATGTATTTTTGTACAGCCAATGACGAAGTGCAGACGTTGTTATGTTGAAGAGCTTTTATGCTACATAGAATAATATATGCTATAATATATGATATTTTTAAATGTATGTCCCTGTGCCTAAAACCTGTCGGATCAGAGATGAAGTACGACCATATCTCCACTTTGCCTGTCTAACTCTAACTGTAGATTAAATGTTGATTTTCTACTGTTGATGCTGGTGTTCTGATGCTTTCCTCTGCAGCTCACATTTATCTCAACATGTGTCTAAACAGCAGCCTGTGGGGTCTACATGTCTGCTTGTGGGTTGTTCCATCTCAATGATCAGCTCCCTTCAGCTCCACTGTCTCTGTTTGGCTTTAAACTTTTTTTAAATCACAAAATTTGGATTTTTTTAAATTGAAAATGTAAGTCAATACATCGCGTTCTTATTAAACATGTTTTTGTGGTACAGCTTGTCCTCCTGCTCAGTCAGGCAGAAAGTTCACATTAAAACTACTCTGTGTGTTTAGTTTGTATGATTGTGACCTGCAGCTACAGATGGATCAGAAACACAACAAGCTGACGTCTGTCTTATCAAAGTTTCAGTTCATTTGTGCTCAGAAATGGGACTTTTTCATCACAGCTTAATTTTTTTCTTTCATATTCCAACTCACCAACAATCAGAGACTGTT